TCCCGTACGTTCGGGCGTTCGGGTTCGGGCGTTCGGCCCGTCCCGAACGCCGGCAACCCTGGGTATAAAACTAATTTATCTGTTTACTCTGAAGGTGGAATTGTGGAGGAAGGGATACCCTGATGATTGTTTCGATAATGCATTCATCAGTTTTTCTAACAAATTTCGCGGCTTGTGGGGCGAATGGTTGCCGGTTTTGACTGGTTGGACGTATGACAGTTAAACGTTGGGGGAACGTGGTCCGCTGTAGGACCCCTTTTTTTGTTAGTTTCGAGCTGTTGATAGCGGATACGAATAGGAAGAATGACAATAAAACGTTGAGAGAACGTGGTCCACTGTAGGACCTTCTTTTGATGGCTTCAAACTGTTGACAGCAGATACTAAATAGGCTTCGAGTTGAAGACCGGTTGTTTGAGATCTGAGTAATTGAATGTTAGGTACTTGTTATTTTCTATTGAGGTTTTGAACTGTGGTCGGGTTCTCTTATTTTGGAGTTTTCGATAGTATCTGATGTGAGAACCTACGCGAAGTAACGACGTCATTTTCTTGTCGGTTGAAGCAGGGTCTGGTTGGTTTCTAGTCAGCAACTTAGTATAAGTTAGTTTAAGTAATAATTTTTCAATGAACTTAGTCCTTTTTACAGACTACGGAATATTTCCCTGGATAACTACGACACTTAAGACGCGACTATTCTTTTCTAGGATATATAGTTGACTCTACCAGACTAAACCAAGATCCCTAACGAGTACTGGTCACGGCGGCCAGTCGAAACTGGTCGGGTCACTCGCCGTACGTTCCGCTGTTTACCACTTCATTTTTTTCGGAACTAAGTTGTGTTCGGGATTTCAACTATCATCCTCGTCTTTCTTCTTCTCCCTTCCCTTTCTTTTTCCTTTCTTGCTTCGTTTGGTGTGGTTCTCCTATCCTCATCCATCCATCTCTGTTTGATTTCGTGCATGAACGTTGTTGTTTCAAGCCGATTGTCATCTGACAACAACGTTCACCACTTCAGGACCATTCAAGATTTTCAAACTGCCCAAAACTCTCACTTCACCACTTCAGGATGTAGCCTGCCTAAACATGTGGTTTTCAGGGTCTTCGGACCTTTCACCACTTCATGACCATTCGGGATTTTCAAACTGCCCAAAACTCTCACTTCAGAATTTTCATTCCTGAATTTTCAGCTACCCGTTAACCGCTTGTGAACTTTTTTATAAGCTTCCTCTCCCAAGAAGTGAATTGTCAATGGAAACCACATGATGGAAAAAGTCGTCGTTAAGAGGACCAAAGTTTTCCCAAAAAGAGAAAGTTTGTGATTTCGCACTCATCCTCTTATTATTGAAACCTTGTCTGTCAACAATGCATTATAAGTGTGGGAGCAATCCGTTAGTGAGACTTGGACTTCAAGAAATCAGTCTGATGTGTTCGTTGGGATTCAACAAAGACCCCAATCTACTTTCTGTGTGAAGAATCAAGGAAGAAAAAATACGAAATTATTCCAATTAATAAAAACTTCAAATAGTTCACAGTACTGTTCTATGACGTTTTTCAGTTTCTTCAACGACTCTGTCTTGTTGACACATGCGGCAGTGAGATCGTCCGAGTTTGTTAACCCCCCCCCCCCCCCCCTTCCTATGAATATGGGGAGGCAGATGTAGACCCATGATCCTATCATTAATCATAATATTATGGAGTAAAACTTCTAAGTAACAAACAACAAGGGGGCCAAAGGGCACCCTTGCTTAAGTGATCTTGACAATGAAAACTAAGACGAAACGTGATCATTCACCATCACTACAGAAGTTGCCGCCATCATGATGTACACTGGTTTTACCCAAGCACAAAATCTCTCCTCCAACCCCATCTTCCCTAAGGATGTAAGAACAAAAGTTCAACCTACCTTGTCGTAGGCCTTCTCCATGTCTACCAATAACACCACCACTTCCTTTTTTCCCTTCCCAATCACCTTTAGGGTCAGTATGGATGACATTATGTTATCAAATATCGATCTGTCCTTCAGAAAGGTTCCTTGATCCTTGCCAACTAGGTCATCAAAATAGTTTGCGAGATGGATCGCTGAAGTTTTTGTCAGTATTTTGCAGGCGACATTGATAACTGAAATTGGTCTGTAGTTTCTTACTCCACACTTATCATTTTTTTTTATACAGACGGGATATCACACTTGTTACCCATCTCTTTGGTAGGTGTCCCGTTACCAGGTTGTTGTTAAATGTCTCACAGAGGAAAGAAGCAAAAACATCCCATGCAGATAAAAACAACTCTACCGGAAGCCCATCCATCCCTAGGCACTTCCCCTTCACCATTTGTTTCGCTCCCATGTGCAACTCTCGTCTTGTGATAGGAGCATTCAAAGTGTCCTTAACTTTTCATGTGATTCTAGCTCTCAAACCTTCCAAAAATCTGTTTTTATTGAGTCGAAGGGTCTTCTTGTTGTTACAATATCCTGAAAGTACTATTTGGCATAAAAGCACATGTTCTCTACACCGG